ATTTGTTATTCAAACTGCACACTTTAATTTTCAGAGTACACACTATGTGTCAGGGGGTACACACTATTTAAGGCCCTGATTTCGATGCGTTAAATGTTCTATGTTTATAAGTTCCTACTCTACTATTGTTTTTTCTCAATATTATGCAGAGTATTTTGTAGATAATTTTTCAGAGTTTTAAAAATATTAAAATAAAATAAAAGAACAGAACAATTGTATTCAGTTAAATTATTGAACTGTTTAGAGAATATAAGAGATGATAATTCAAAGTAAAGTTATCTAGTAGGAGATAAAAAATATATTAAAGTACAATATTAAGGTAAAAACTTTAATTATTATAAATATGTAAACATTTTGGAAATTTAATTATGTAGTAGTACTGGGATTTACTAATAGTTAATTGTGACGAACACTAATTTGAGACATTTTGTACAGATTTTTACATAGCAAAATATTACTTTTAATTTATTCATAACATAACAATTTTCAGTTCTCGTTATTTTCGAAAAACGAACGTAACCATAGCGGTTATAGAGTGTTTGATTGGCTACGTTTATTAAAATAAAATTCAACAAAATAAACTCACATAACATCGATTGCCTGTACATAACACTATTCCAAAGAAACGCTTTTTAACTCACCGGCTTATAGGTACCGAAATTGTTCAAAATGTCACAAGAGCATCAGGAGTACGACACAGCCTATCAATATTTTAAATGTGCTAAACCATTGGATTATTCTTCCAGGGGATTGAAGTCTCTCGAAGGTGAGTACACATTATATATATTACGCGTTATGCGTCTGCATAAATTGAGGTGGACAAGTCAACGTTAGATTGTCAGACCTTACGTTGATGACGATTCATCGTAACATACCTCTAAATGTTGAAGAAATTGTTAATATTTTTAATAAAGAAAATAGAAAAATTAATTTTACATAATATTAAGTCATAAACATTTTAAGTCTACCTACTGTAGAAAAATACTTAATTTATTATGTATCTTATTTAATAATAAATATATATTAACAAATTTAAATTCCTATATTTGTATCATTTATGTTATAATTGAAATACCGAGTCCCTAAAAAATTTCTAGTTATAGCTGGTGGTTGTAGGTGGAGGTAAATTGGCCCATAGTGAAAATAATTCCTATATACGCTAGTGGCAATTGGTACGTACAGTGGAACCTCGATAAGTCGAAATTCAAAGGAAATGCAATTTTTTTCGACTTACTAAGGTTTTCGAGTTACCAAGGTTTTAGAAAAAATATTCGATTTAAAGAGTTTTTAAAATGTATGTATGTATATGTATGTATGTAAGTTTTTAAGTAGCAACTGGCAATCAATGCCGGCCCTAGGTATTGCGGGGCCCTGGAAATTAGCCTTTAGGATATAAAATGTCAATGTGTCTCACGGTATTAAAATTATAATTTAAAATCACAGGGGCCCTTTAACTAATGTTAATACGTAAGATAATAAACACAATAAATGCGTTAAATGTTTGAAATCTAAACAATTTCAAGTAATCGAGGTTAACGCAAGGGAACAGAATTTTTTTCGACTTATCAAGGTTCCACTGTATTATGTTTATGGTATACCTACATATCTATTAAAAGTGATTTTTATTGTGAGTTTTGATATTGGCCTCTAAATGAACCTGTATAATAATTATAAATAATAAATATATTTAGATACAACAATTTTAAATAAGAGTTGATTAAGGATTTAAGATTTATTTAACTTTTTAATAGTTTTAA